GGCAGGGGGGTTGGACTAGATGATCCCCAGAGATCCCTTCCAACCCCCACAATTCTGTGATTTCCTGTCTTTGATGGGTTAGACAGGTTTTTAGAGCCTACTGTAGTGCATCTGGCTAGTGTTTGTGATTGTATTGCGAACTGTTCAATGACTGGTGCCCTCTGTATGTCAATGGCAATGTGTCCTGTTTATTATTGCTTTGAAATAAATGTAATCTTTGTGTCTTGTGTTTACTGATAACAGGCTGGCTGGCTGGCTAAGGTAGCTTCAAGGGTGGACTGAAGTGGTGCCAGAGGGATTGCGGAGCATCGTGAAGATAACTGTAGTTCCTTGACTGAGGAATTTGCTTATCATTAGTTATATCAGCAGAACTTTTGGTGCTTCTGAAGAGGAAACAAAATGATACCTGCATTTGGACATGCCTCTGTAACAGTGGAGTGTTTTGGACATGATGGTGTCATTGAGGATTTGTTGAAAACTCAGTGCAGCTATGTTGAGTCATTTCTGGAATGAATCACATTATTGCTAAGTGGAAACTGCTTGCTTCTGATGCACCTGTTATAGGCAGGTCAGATGGTTTGTTCTGGTCTGTAGAGTAGAAGGAATCTGGGTGCTGATGATTTTGAAGGGCACTTCTCTTGCTTTCTTTTGAGCTCCTGTTCTGGCAGTCTGTGCATTTAGTGTGGTAAGCTTGCACATAAATATATGGAGCTGTACTTCAGATTTTCTGTTGTTTTTACATTGAAGGAAATATTTTTATGTTTGTTCTCCCTAAGTTAACACATCAACTCAGGCATAACATAATTTGTGTTCCTTCAACTATAGATAGTATTTATGTATTTCCAGTTAAAGAACTTCACAAGAAATTCTGATGGTGCGTTGTTTTTGTGGTGTTTTGTTTTGTTGTTTTTTTTAAATCTGGCTGTGACAGTTGTATGCACATAAAGATGCTTTAAAGATTGCATCGGTCGCAACAGTATCAGAGTCTGGGTCACACAGGAAGGCATTCTGAAGTGCTTTTCTGTTCTTTGTTCTTCAGTGCAAAAGTAAGATGGCTTACTAATAGTTGGTCAGAATTTATTAGCCAGACTTCTTTCATAGAGTCAGTTCAAGCTAAAGATTAACTGGCATATTGTTTATTCCATTTCTGAAGGTTGTAACTGTAAGCTAAATGTCAAACTATGGTAACACACAACTGCTGACTTTTGATGTTTTCTGTGTATACTGTTGACACAAAAGTGAAATATTTAGGTATTACAACTGTACATAGTACTGGTTTGCCACTGTGTTCACTGCTCACTTCAGTATTAGGCTGTGGAAGAAGACCTGTTTTATGCTAATATTTACACTTTCTCTGTGTTGAATTTCAGCTAGGGTCTGTGTCTGAGGGAGGAGAAAGTAGCAAAACTTGGAAGAGTGGAAGGTGATGTGTAGGTCTAGCTACCTTCTGGAAACTAAATGTAGTTAGCCCATTAGTTCTGTACAGACTTTCCTGCCTTTGGATTTTGAGGCTGGTGGTAGTTTAGAGGTGTAGATGCCCTCTGCTAGTCAAAAATACAGTGGATTGCTGTTGTGTACCATGTGGTTGTTTTCAGCATTTGCCGTGGGGTGACAGAATGCCTTTGGAGCATGCATTAGGTTGCTTGAAGCAGGTTTGGTTTTACTTTCTGAGTAGTAAATGACTTCTGTGGAAAAGTAAACTTGTTTCAGAGTTTAACTTGCGTATTACTGCACTGTAGGTTTTCTAGGTATACAGCATTTGACAATACTTCATATTCTATCAGGTGAGATACCTGATGGCCAATTGATACATGGCTTTGCATGTGTCTTCAAGTACTTTACATATATGTTTATTAATTCTGATGTTTAAATGTGTATTTTAGTTTCCTGGGGGTGGGGAAACCTTCCAAAGCGGGTTATATATCTTGGACTTTAAAAGCAAATCTTGTCTTAGAATAAAGCTAGAAGTTTTCTAACTTGTAGTGTGTGTGGGATTTTGGGGTTGTTTTTTAAATCTGGTCCACTCTTGCAGAGTACCTTCAGCCTGTTCTACTGTTTTAAGTTTGTAATGTTAAAAGTGTTGAGCAGTTGGATCAAATTAATGTCCTTTAGGTACATGCAAAGTACTGTAGATACCTAGATAGAATAAATTGTGCTTTGATGTGATGGCTTCATATGAACTTCATATTTGCTGCAGATGTAGTCAAATGTTTGGTTTTCTTTTTTCTTTTCTTTTTTTTTTTTAAAAAAAAAAACCCCACCAAAAAACCCCTTTCAAATTAAAAACCAAACAAAAAAACCCCAGCTAACCTCTGGAATGACTTTTGTTAAGTCATTCAAACAAAAAAAGGAACAAGAGCTGCTGGAGGAAATGCATAACAAAAAGAGGGAATCATAAGTTTCTGAATCATACTGAGAGACCAAGAGGTTTTAGAAATGGTGGTCTTACAAACTCATCCTTGCTGAATCTTACACAACTTCAGTTTACTCTCCTGTAGCTAGTGCTTTCAAAGGCAGGCCTTAGTATCTCAAGCACAGTGCTTTAAAATGTGGTTACAGGGCTCCTTATCTAAACCTAATATACCCAGACAACTGAAGCTTAAACAAAGTGACTCTCATCTGTTGACAAAAGACTGTATAGACACGTCCTGGAAAATAAGAAATTAAATGGCTGTTAGGAAGAAGGATGGGGAGATGCTTTGGTTACTTGCATTGTTTGCTGAAAGGTGCTGGGAAATTCCTGTCTCTTTGAAGAGGGAGTGAGGGAAATGTGATAATAGCATCATGGTAGCTAGTACTAGCTGTCTGAGGCTGCTCTGTATTTTTCATGGGGTTTTTTTTGCACTGGTTGCTCACATTTACTAAAAAATCAGTTGTTTCAATTTTAAAATTAGATAAATGGAAATGAATGCGTATGAAATTACTAAAACTATCAATCAGATATAGGAGATCCCTGATAAAATATTAATGACTTGTTTACAAAGCTGTCAAATCCCTTGAATTGTTTTGTATGGGTTGGAAAGTGTCTTTTTGAATGGCACCTATGAGGCAATAAAGAGTAAACCCTAACTTTTTTTCCTCTCAAGGCAACATCAATCCCCACACCTCCCCCCTGCCCCGTGGTCTAATATAGGATGAAAGCAAAAGCTTGAATGCTTTTGTTTCTTGACAGTTGACAGACCTCTTGTAATAGCCTGGCTGTAAAGAAACATCTCTCTTCCTGGGCTGAGGCTTTTTCAGTCATTAAAGCTAAAAATTAAGGGTTCACCTTACGTTGACTTTGAAGTGCTTCCTAAATGGCAATACTCTTATAAACAAGCAGCTCATCTGGTTACTCTGTATCAATATCATCCAGGAGTCCCTGCCTTGGCCAGCATTGATTGAAACAGGAGAGGCTGCTAATTATGGGTCATTAAGTCCAGTATTTGTGATGAACAAATTGTCCTCATCTTTCAACAACTACTCAAATCCATCCTTAACAGGCAAGAAAGAACACAAATCAATCTAAAAGGCATGTGGTAGCAGCATGGTCGCCATTGGATAATAATTTTTTTGTCTATAGTTACATTTTAGTAGAAACTAGTTGAGGACTACCACTGACTTTATCAATCTTCCAGCTAGTAAGTAGTAATTGCCTTTCCTCAGTGTATATAGGCAGCTAGGGTACGGGAATGGCACGTATGGTACAGAACTACTTATGTTCTTTGCTTGAAAAGCAAATGGGTAAAAGCTGGGTCTGTGGTGAGACCATCCTCAAGACATAACCATTTAAGTAAGAGGAAAGACAAGAACACATTGTAGGTCTTATTTATGTTTCTGTGTTTCAAGAATCCAGGTGAGCCAATTAGAAAAGTGAACATTTTGTGTAAGTTTACAGAGATCTTAATGGAACCCCTAGTCATGGAACATCTGGAAACTGATCTGGAATGTGGAAAAGATGGGTTAAAAGAATCCGTGCTATATAGCTTTGCAAAGTGGAAGAGGCATTTGACTCAGTGGAAATGTAAGAGGAGTTGAGTCTTGGAAATAACTGAAACAGGGGATGAAAGTATTAGACATCGCTCTGTGACTTTTATAGTGATGATGATGTGTACAGTTTTCTTCTGTTCCTGAAGCACTGCTGGTATTAACTAGTAAAGGTAGTCACCTATTAAAGTCTTGGATATTTTCAGGACTACTTGATTTAAAATTAGTTTTCTTACCTGAAGACTACCTGACTGTACTATTTTGACAAGTTTGTAATTTGTTGTGATGGTTAAGTTTTGTGTTATAACAAAAAAAAGCAGTATATGCCAGCTCTTCAACTGAGTCAACAGCTTTCTGAAATAGCACTGATGATGGCATTAACCCCTTGAATATTAAGTTAAAGAGAAGATCAAGTAGAGATCTGTGGGCTTATAGGTGTCCCCGGCAGTTTACTATATCAAGCTGCCTTGCTATGTGTTTGGATGACCTTGCGTGCATATCAGTTCTTTAACTACCAGGAAAAGCTGGAATGTCATAATTAACGAAAGCTAAAAATACATTAGGAACCAAGTTCTCTCTACTCGTTAAAATTCTCTTCAGTGCTTATGGCAAACTTAAAATAACAATTCATTTTATTTTTCAGCACTTATTTCCGGTTGGATTAGACTAGTATTCATGTTATTTATGGTAATTCTGGCATAATGTGCTAGCTGTGCGTATTTCAGTTCTTACAACTATTTCCACTGACCATTGCGTTCAGCCTCTGGAAGTTTAAGAATTATTTAGAGAATGCCACTGAGCAGAGGCGATGCATTGGGAAGGCTTTACAGAGATTATTCTGTTATTAGTTTTAAATTCTTTGTACATGCTCCCTTCTGCAAAAGGTGTCTCTTTACATTCTACTGTGGGATATAGGATTGGTAAAGTGATACTGTTGAGATATCAAGTTGAAGAAAATAAGATTTGTTTGGTGGATTGACCTTGTCTGGCTGCCAGGTGCCCACCAGGCTGCTCTATTACTTCTTCTCCATCAAAAGGATAGGGGGGAAAAAAGAAGACAAATGTTCTTGGGTCGAGATAAGGACAGGGAAATCACTCACTGATTACCATCACAGGCAAAACAGACTCAATTTGGGCAAAACTAGTTTAATGTATTATCCTACTCTGTTTAATTGGTAATGACAAGTAAGAAGAAACCTAAAAAAACTTTTGCCCCACCCCTCCCTGCTTCCCAAGCTCAACTTCACTCCTGACTTCTCTACCTCCTCGCCCTGAGCGGTGCAGGGGGACAGGGAAGGGGGACTGCAGTCATTTCATAATGCTTTGTGTCTACTGCTCCTTCCTTCTCATGTTCTTCCCCTGCTCCAGCATGGAGTCCTGTCCACAGATTACAGTCCTTCATGAACTGCTCCATTGTGGGTCATTTCCAACAGGGTGCAGTCCTTCAGGAACAGACTGCTCCAGTGTAGGTCCGCCCATGGAGTCACAGGTCCTGCAATAAAACCTGCTTCAGCATGGGCATCTCTCTACAGGGTCGCAGCTACTGTCAGGAGCCTGCTCTAGTGTGGGCTTTCCATGGGCTGCAGCTTCCTTTAGGACATTCCTACCTGCTCTGGTGTGGGGTCCTCCATGGGCTGCAGGTGGATCTCTACTGCACTATGGACCTCCATGGGCTGCAGGGAGCAGCCTGTCTCAGCATGGTCTTCATAAGGGGCTGCAGGGGAATCTCTGCTTTGGCACCTGGAGCACCTCCTCCCCCTCCTTTTTCACTGACCTTGGTGTCTGCAGAGTGGCTGCTGTTGCACAGCAGATTTTACCGTTTCTTAAAAATGTTTTCACAGAGTTGCTACCACTGTCATTGAGTGGCTCAGCTTTGGCCAGGGGCAGGGGCGGCCCCGCGCCTCTGCTGTCTTCTCGTGGAAGCTGCCGCTGCAGCCCCTCTGCTACCCGGGTCTTGCAATGTAAACTGTTCATGTTACTTATGGTTTCATATTTTGCTTTTCAGAGGGCAGATGATTTCAGCTGAAGACTGTGAATTTATTCAAAGATTTGAACAGAAAAGAAATCCAGAAGAAAAACAGGAGTTGTTACAAACAGAAGGCAATCAAGTAACTTTTCTTTTCTTTTGGTATCTAACTTTTGGGGAGGAGGATGGAAGGAAATTTTCATACCAATTCTTATTTTATTGTTGGCTGCATACAGTTTAGATGTTATGGAAGAAGTATAAAACTTGCTGTTGTGATCCTATTTTTTTCTAGATATAGGTTGGACATTCTTTTAAAAACCTATTAAATGATCATTAAATATCATCTGGCTTTGACTCTGTGGGACAGGCTAGCTCAAGTCTTTCCTCATACCAGTTTACTTAATCATGCACGCTTGTACTTGAGTCACTTTTTTTTTTGAGGTTTTTTCCTTGTAGTTTATTGACGAGAGCTGCTGCCAAAGAGATTTCCGCTTAGCTAGCCCACTGACTGCTAAGATGGATTCAGTTAAACACGGGTGTCTAGTTGTCTAGTGTCATTTTTAGTATGAGACATCTGCATTGGACAGAGCTGGTATAAAATGGATGGGTGGCCCATGTTATTTGGCTTATGGAGTCCAGGCAGGATGCCCAAAGACACTTCAATGACATCTGAAGCAGTAGCATCTCAGCCTCAAAGCCTGAGGTTCTAGCAGACATTGTCAGACACCAAGAGGATTGGAAGAAGCAGGGCAGAAGGTGAAGAGTAGGAGGTACACTTAAGAGACAAAACTTTACAGCCCTTTTTTCTACTTTAATTTTAGGCTGTTCTGTGACTCTTGTGGTGTGTTGTTTTCCCCCCCCAATTATATTGTGCGACTGCTACGTAATGGACCATAATTTACATGGTGACAAAAGCATATATGGTGAACATTATATACCACTATATAATTACAGTGTAGCAGTTCAGAGTTCCATTTTTCTTTGTTTTAATTGAATGAGGTGAAAAGGAGGGAGGGAGTGAATGTAAAAAGTAGTGTTGTGACTTTCAGCCTATTATATATCTGTTGCTGAAATTGTAGAATAGAGTTGTTCAGGAGGCAGAAAACAGCTCAAATATGAACAAAGATTTGTCTACAAGGTATAGGAAATGAGCTGGTAAGAGTGACCTGTCTTCCTTTCCTCCCATTCAAGTTGCTGAAACTTTCTTATACCTTATGTAAGTTTGTTGCTGTTTTATGAATTTACTTGGTTCTTCTCACTGCCATAAAAAAGGACACTGATGGAGATTTTTCTAAGTAGTCTTTCAAAAAAGCACCTTGCTGACTTTCAGTAGTGAGTACTTGTTATCCCATTTGAAAGCCATAAAACAATTTGTAAAGGGTAATGATCCATGTGACAGAAAATTTTCTTTGTAATATAATGTCAAATGTATTCCTCTCGCTGGAATTGAATAAGATGTTGAGATGCTTAATGCTTATGTAAGACTTAACTGTGAATTAATGGGGTCCTGTTTTATATTATCAAAAGGAGTGAAGACAATTGGTAATATTATTTTAATGTGTCTCTTATTTTCCTAGTGTGCTAAAACATTTATAAACTTGATGACTCATATCTCCAAGGAACAGACGGTTCAGTACATTCTGACTATGGTTGATGATATGCTGCAAGTAGGTCAATAACCTGTCTTATTTTGAAGTCTTTAAATGCATGCTTGAGTATTTCCTTAGCCTAATGCAGGTATCTTCAGGTATTTGTTATACTGTATTAAAATTTTTCTTTTATATTTTCAGATCTTGTCCTCATAAGTTAAATGTTAGAACTAAAGTTGTATGGGTAACTTAGCCTTGTATATATACGTTCATGTTCTGGAAGTAAAACATAGCTGTATGTTTGTCTGTTGGCTCTCAACCATATTTAACGCAAAACTTGGATGTTAAGGGATGATTTGTGACCTCAGCCCTTTCCTGTTGTGTAGATGGGATATGACTTCTGACTTGAAGTTGTTGAAGCTTTTCCTACAAAGTGTTAACTTTGCCACCCTCAGCAAGAAGGTGTAGTTTCTGTAGCTTCAGGTTTCCAACAGAAGTTAGACTGTTCAGGACAAAATGTTCTGAAATTCTGCATGGTTTAATTATAAAACAGGAACTTCTGTTTCGATGAAATATGTAGCTCTTTGTAGCTATGGGATACAGTGACTTACAAGAGTAGGCTATTGAATTTGGTGTCAAGACTGCTATGGGATGTGGGAGTCAAGAGGAGACTTTACTCAGATAATCCTGGTTTTGCGTTTCTTTCCTCTTTAGTAGGCTAAGAGAAAGTGGTTGGAGTGATGATGTAACAAGATGGGTTTTGTGCAAGGTTTTCTCGTGGTGTTCACATAGAATATCTGGCTGTTTGACAGTTTCTCCTCTGCTGTTTTATGCTATGTTTAATACAAGGTTACAGTGAAATGTGCCTCGTGATAATGGTTTAGGGCAATGCTCTAAGAGGTGAACTATGTGAGTTCTAATTCCAGTGATGAGTGCTCAGTATTGTCAACAGGCAAGTAGAAAAGTGTGAACCCCTCCACAGTACGTGTAACATGGGGATTATGGTGTTCTTTCAGCTGCCTGTCTGCACGTTAGAGCCCTGAGTGAGTGCCATGCCTGCTAGAATAATGGTTAGTGGTGGTGATGGCAGTTTATTCATGCTCATCTGCAGCTGTGTCGCTCTGACCCTCTTCCATTTTTCTTTAGACTTACTTTTTCTCAACTGTGACACAAAACATCAAGAAGCAGAGAACACGCAAGGGAGCCTCAGTGTCATTCCTTGATTAGGACACTGAGTTGGGAGTACCTTGTTTTGGTTCATGCCTTTGATGACAAACTTTGTCCTAGTGTGTGAGAACTCTGTTTATTATGGCTGCTTTTGTGAGGAATGGATCTCGCTTTGTGTGAGATGTTGCTGGCCACAGAAGTAATCATTTCGCTTGCCCTTCTTTGGAACTTTTGGTGAGTGTTAGTAGGTCTTGTTTATGTGCTTTGACATTGGCACGTAGCCTAAAGTTACAATATGCGATAGCCAGTATCATCTGCTGTGCTGTGGAATTAATACCCCACAGGTAAAGGCTTTTACTGGCCCATCTTCGAATAACTGCGTTAGTCCTAGGTGGTCACAGAAAGTAGTTCTGAGTAATCTCTTATTTGGTGTATTGGTTCTGTCATATGTGTCTAGATGAACATGTTTCTTGACTTTATGGTCATGCACTGACATTTCTGTATTCAGGGCCTTACCCTGTCATGGAAGTGGCGTATGTGGAATTCTTAACATTAAACATAAGGAGTTCAAATTGTCCAGGCTTTATACTGATACAGGATAGTAGAGATGTTGGTGCATGATATATATTTCCTTTCGTATGAAATTCGATGCCTTTTTCACTTTAGAAATTCTTGAGTTTCTGAGAGGCTGCACTGGCTTTTGCAGTGCTGCTGTGTGTGACTTCATTGTTCAGGGATATCTGGCTGCTGGCACAGAGAGCTTGTGTGCAGGCATCTGCATGGCATCCTCCAAGGGCTTCCTAATCCACTAGGCAAGGCTGAAACAGGACTTCTGTTTTCTTCTGGTCACGTTCAGACGGTAGAACATGCTGTCAGTGATGCCTTATTGGACCCTTGGTTGCATGTTTTCAAGGTGTAAAATTCTTGTCGGAGAGCATCGTATTGGCCATTGGCTCTGTGACTCTGCATTCAGTGCAGGGTTTCCGTAGACTGCGTGGATGGAAGAATCCACAATAGTGGGTATGAATTCTCCTGTCTTTGCCCAGGTAGTCTTAATTCAGTACATGCAAAGACTTGAAGTGTGAAAGTTTTCAAGGGCATGGCCTGTCATAGTACCACTGACTCTTTCAGGAAAATTGTTTTGAGCAAGGATGTTCACTGCAGTTTCATGAGACAAATAGTCTTTGAAAGCTGCCTTTTGATAGCTGAAACTTCTAGAAACTATCATAGGCAACAGTATTCAGCTTCTGTCTGTGTTGATAATGACTGTTGTTCTATTATCTTTCTATGCTTTTCCTGTGAGGTTGTAAAAATTATATAAACTGTGTTTTGAGCATGCCAAAAGCCTTCCTGGGTATCTAAGATTGTTCCAGTAGTTCTGCTTACGACTTTGATCATCATTCTGAGAAAGATTTATTTTGGAGGCTGGCAGAAGTGAAATTAACATGGTGATTTGTTTATAAGAATATCACTGTGCTGCTTATTTCTGAAGGTGGAGAGTGTTAGCCTACTGGAATCCCTGAGGAAACATTTCTTATTCTATTCATGTGGTAAATACTTGGAACAATTTGTCTGGATTAGTAACCCCATCACACTGCACAGTCTGTTACTTGTGAAATCTTTAAGAACCTGCACTGCAAGTGGTGCCTGTAGCGGTACCACCCAGGTGAGCTTCATTGTGCTTCTTCAGAAATGACAGATGCTAAATTATTCAACTGCTGATGTGAGAGCTTCAGGATTTCCTTTTTATCACTGTAGTCAGCAGCTGCCTAGGAAGGCGAAGCACTACATATTTCAGGGCTGTAGGCAGTTCTCCACTCCTTCCTTCCTGTCATTACCCCACACCTTAACAGCAAACCTGACTAGTCTTTTGATTGACAGCATGTTGAAGTTATTTCAGCTTTTCTGCTTCTAGACCTGTCTGTCTCCTCCTGAGTTATGTTGTAAACTGAGCTCGTTAATCTAATTGTTTTTGATCTTTTTAGCTAGACTCTGTGTAGCACAAGTGTAGATGCTGCTAGTGTTTTATTTCATTGAACTGTTGTTTTTCATCAAACTAGCCCTCACAGAGCAGAGGCTCTCCACCAAGGCATAGTGTTCCTGAGATCTTTTTTTTTTATTTCATAGCTTGCACAACAGCTTTTGAGAGGGTTTCTGAGTGCTTTTTGACACATGCCATACGGAACATTAATTAGTGTTAAGGGTTATGACTGTCAGGTAACTAGTGACACCTGACCTTCCCCAGTCAGTGATCAGGACAGCAATTTGCAGCCCATGTGGTGTGGTAACTTTGATCCTTTTATACTTTCAGTGAAGGGTTGGTGCAACTCTGATGCTTAGTAAGGTGCCAGTGTTTGGATCATGGATACATTCAGGTCATCTTCTGCTTAACAAAGCATATTCCAACAAGTGGGCTTGCCTAGCTGATTCTTGGTCCACAGAGTTAATAATAGGGTGCTGAATTGATGGAGGAAAGCCCTTCAGCGAGGGGAGTTGGAAAATTAAATCAATTGGGTAGTGGAGACTGAGATACTATTCTCATGTGAGTTTCCCAATTATGGTGTTTCAAACAGTTTTGCGTTGTGCAGTTTTGCCTTGAGTTGTACAGTAATTTATAGCAGCGCGACTTCAATGGGGAGACATCTCTTTAGAATGAAAGCTTACCACTCACCAGGCTAGAAAGTATATGGAAATGCTGGGCAAAAGCAAGAATCCAGGTATTTATTTTTTCTGGAAGACTGTCTGTGTTCTAGGCTATTAGGAAATAGCAGACCTCCTCTTTCTCCTTCAGGTTTGCATGGCCTCTTCTCTGCTCTGCTTTAAGGAGGATCATATTAGCTGCCTTTCACAGTGGTTATTAGGTGAAATGCTCTAAGAAACTCTGCATGGTGACCAAGTTCAGGTACTTGTGGTCTCTTGTGGTTCAGCCTAGAAGCCCTGGAGAACAGACTTCTGGTGACTGTGTCCTCTCCTAGGTATGCAGGTTGCCTGAAATAACAGCTGAACCAGCTGAAGTCTCATCTGGGAGAGAAGAGCTCACTTCTCACTGCGAGGAGTGGAGAGGCAGGAACTAGCTTCACTTGTAGCACACGCAGCCAAGTTGAACAACAAGCTTTTGTGTGGAAGTAGCAATACATGGAAAACTTTCTGTGGACTTCATTCAAGCATAATTGATTGGATGAAGAGTAGTGCTCCTCTGGAAAATGGCAATATTTAGCTAGTCTCATTTCTCTCATTCTGCTTGCTTGATCAAAAGGATACATCTATTTTTACTCAAGTGGGTGTGGGAGTACTGAGATACAGATAGGGTTTCGAATTTTGTTTCGCCCTGCCCCAGATCTCTAACCTTAATGTTGGAGTGCTGAAATGAACTGTATCCACAAGTAACTGTCAAACTGAAAAATTTCCATGGGCTGTTACAAGCCAGGATACACTCTGATGATGTATGCCTACATAATGAGGAGCAAATAACCGCTTTGTTGAATGGTTTTACAAGTCTCTTATCTTTTCCTCTCTCCCAATTTTTACAGGAAAATCATCAGCGTGTTTCTATCTTCTTTGATTATGCAAAACGTGGTAAAAACACTGCATGGTCTTATTTTCTGCCGATGTTGAATCGACAAGATCTTTTCACTGTGCATATGGTAAGTTTTAAATGAACCTGTCTCAGAAGATGGTAGAGAAAAAAGCTAGTGTTATTTTTCTTCACGAGATTCTGGAGTTTGAAGCTAAACTACTGAGTGGACTGGAAAGTTTTCTTTTTGCAGTCTAGATGAGCAATTCTTAATACAGGCTTCACTTGACCACATGTTAGAAAGAAAAGTTACATCGTTTATTGACATTGTGTTTTCTGGGAGATGAGAGCAGGTTTTAAAGGCTTGGAAAAGCAAGGATTTTAGAATTGATTAAGCACAGTAAGACATAACTAGAAAAATAACTTTTGTCACAACTGCCGGTCAGTGCTCCTCATGCTGTACAAATATTAGAATTTAAATTATCCTGTGAGAGGGAAAGATCTTTACCTTGATGAACCTTAAACTTTATATGCTCAAATTACTATAAAGCCACTTGAAATCTGCTTAAAATGGTTTGTAAACATACTGGGGAAGAAATAATGTCTGCTGTTGTGGTGGGTTGACCCTGGCTGATAGGAAAGCTCATCCCAGTTGCTTGCATAGTCCCCAGCAGCGGGAGTGGGGAGAGAATTGGGAGGGCAGAAGTGAGAAAACCTGTGAGTCAAGATAAAGACAGTTTAATAAGTGAAAGGCAGAAAAGGGAGGGGAAGTGGAACCCAAACTAAATCCAACAAGAAGTAGTTACGCAAAAGCAATCTCACAGCATCAGCAGACTGATGGTCAGCCTGTACATCTCTTTGGTGAGCTGTACTGGCTGTGTCCCCTTCCAGCCTCTTGGCCCCCCCACCCTGCCTACTCACTGGAAGTGTAGAGCGAGAAACAGAGAAGTCTTTAATGTTGTGCAAGCACTGCTCAGCAACAGTTAAAACACTGGTATGTTATCAGTACTGTTTTTGTCACCAGTCTAAACCATAGCATCGTATGGACTGCTATGAAAAAAATTCAGTCCATCCCATCCAAGCTCAGTGCAGCCATGTGTGTTGTATGGTATTTGCTGTGCTCTGAGCCACTGGGTGCCGCTGGTCTATATGAAGTAACTTTTCTGGAATTCTTAATATCGTTCTGTCATCTGTGGTGAGAACTGGCCATTTCATCTCAGCAGTTTGTTTTTTTTTCCTTGTGGGGGAAAAATATGGTTGTATTACTGTAAATTCCTAATGGAGACCATAGTTTCCACTAATAAAACTTGTATTGTGGCTTGAAGAGGGAGAAAACTGCATGGCTGTGAGTTGTTCATCACTGCATATGTTTATGCTGGCATGGTGTGGTAGAATCAAATCAGTGGCTCAAATTACAGAACCATGTACCTGGCCTGCATTATGCTGTGGTGGCAGTACTGGCGCAAGGAATTCCAGGCAAGTTATGCTGTTCGCCCTTTGGTGTGGCCAGTGCAACTGTATTTGGGGCTGTGCTGCGACTTCAACAAAGAAGAAAAATGTCAGGCTTGATTTTTTTTTTATTTTTTTTTTTTTTTTTTTTTTTAAAAGGGTCTGTTTTCGGGCCTGGCCATGGGATAC